GCTGCCGTCTGGTGGTCAGTGTGCTCCCTCAGGGGGAGCTCTGCTCAGCCACAAACCAGGCTGATGGCTGCCAGGACAGCGGTGGTGGTGGGAGCCTCTCCCGTCTCCTCAGCAGCACTAAGGATGTCAGACTGCAGCTTAGGCCTGCTCCCCACTGGCAAGTGGACATCCCCCGAGGGCTCCTGGGCTGCCAGAGGGATGTCTGATTGCTAGCTTAGGCCCAATCCCCCAGGGAGTGGGCCTAAGCCAGCAGGTGGTCATCCACCGAGGGGTCCCAGACTGAGAGAGGGCACAGGTCAGGCTGAGGGACTCCCCCCTTCCCCCCGAGGGCACAAATTTTTGTGCACCGGGCCTCTAGTATAATTATAAGAAAATATGTTTATAAGTTGATATGTGAAATTATCAGAATATTTAATTAGTATGATCCCAATTTTCAAAAAAATATATTTTATGCTGATTTTTAAAGTTTAAGTATAGTTGGTATACAATAGTATATTAGTTATATTAGTTTAGGGTATACAATATAGAGATTTGACATTTTTATACCTTACGATTGTTATTTTAATAATTATCTTTCACGTTGCAAATTTCTCAAAACATTATTGGCTATATTTAGTTCAGCTCTTACCCTCACCCTTTTAAAAAGAAATGCACTAAAATGATAACTTTGATTATGTCTGGGTCTTGAAAACATAATCTTTATTTCTGTTTTCCTGTGTTTTTTTTACAATGAAAACATGTTAAATTTATAAGAATTAAAATGATCATTAAACAATAAAAGCATTGGGAAATTCAACCTGAAGATAACCTCTCAAGAATAAGAAAACAAAGAGCTTCATATAGTTCTTAAATCTCTATTTAATATGTGTCTCTTTCTAATTTAGGATCTAAACACAAGACCATGGTTGAAGCTCGTAATGGGGCTGGTCCAATTAAGTCCTATCCTAGACCTGGATCAAGATTAAAGATGCAGAATGGTAGTAAAGGGTCAGGACTACAGAACAAGACATTTCATTGTGAAATCTGTGATGTCCATGTTAATTCAGAAATTCAACTCAAACAGGTAATGTATTCTGAATTAGTAGTCACTGTTGTTTGGGGTCACCACTTGACTGTATATCTCCTTATCTAATGGTTCTCACTGTGCTCACAGTTAAATTAACTAACCTTTATATGATGCATGCAATATGCAAAATACAGGTGCTTTGTGGAAGAAAAAGTTGCTACCAAATATTTGCATACCTATTGTTACTATATGTCAGATTCCAGATGAGGTGTTAGAGACAGATGAGTACAGCAGTCATCTGGAGCTCACAGTCAAGCAGGAACTTCTGGAAGACATGTGGGCCATTCAGCTGATCATCCAGAGACCCAAAACCTGGTTAGGGGGACAGACTCCACAGTCACAAGGGTAACACCAGGCAAAGTTTAATAAGATCTGTAGAGAAAGAGAAAAGGGAGAGAGGCATTACAATGGAGTGGGGAGCAAGTCTTAACCCACACACTACCTTGGAATTTGTACCTAGAACTGGGTCCAGCTACCTCTGGCATGAAAGCCTCAAATCATGGTGAAACCAGCTACCTCTATCTGGGAATATATTTTACATGAAATAGAACTCACATTTAGATTCAGCTAATGCAGCAAACTTTTTTTCAGCACATTTCTAGCCGAAGGCATAAGGATCGAGTTGCAGGGAAACCACTGAAGCCGAAATACAGCCCCTACAACAAACTCCAGCGGAGCCCAAGCCTCTTAGCAGTAAGTTCACCTTGCCTGCTCACCTGTTTTGTGGGGCAGCCTTGCTGGGTTGGGCAGATTCTGTGGGTAAGGAGGGCCTAGGGACTAATTAGTCCTGAAAGGTTTGGAACTTAAACAGCCCTCATAGACAGAAATTTTAGAATGAACTGCTTAGTTCCTGCCATAGGACACCTTGAAGAAAGCTTCCTTAGAGAAGAGAAGCTGAACCTCTTCAAGAGCGTTCAGCTCTTACCCTCACCCTTTTAGGAGGGCCTTTTGATCCTCTGACCTTCTTTAGCATATAAAGAAAGAAAAGGCTCGGGAACAAGGACAAGTGATGACTGTTGAACCTGGGGAAAGGGATTGCTTTCAGAAAACTAAAATTCACCCATTTAGCATCCTAGCATCCTCCTCCCTTCTCTGTCTTCCCCTCTCCCTCTCCTTCCCTCTCAACCCCTCTGCCCCCAGTAAGTAAAGTAGGTGTGTGTGCTGCCCTCTTTCCGTGCCTAGTAGGCATGTTGGTAATGGGCTTGTTTCACCTGCTCTCAGTATGTGCCGTTGTCAGTTTCTTTGCAAAACTACCCAAGGAGCCCAGCTGGTTTGGCTCAGTGTTTGGAGCATTGGCCTGCGGACAGTCAGGGCACGTGCCTGGGTTGTGGGCTCGATCCTCTGTAGGGGATATGCAGGAGGCAGCCGATCGATGATTCTCTCTCATCACTGATGTTTCTATCTCTCTCTCCCTCTCCCTTCCTCTCTGAAATCAATAAAAATATATTTTAAAAAAATAAACTACCCAAGGACTTCAGTGATAGGGGCCATGTAAATACCCAGCCGACTGGATTTCATCATTTCCCTGGGACCCAGGCTGACACTCCATCTGAGGGTGAAGCTGGGAGTGGCCAGCTGGAGGCCCTGCTCAGGTTACCTTCCAACCACTCTGTAGCCTCCCTCTGATGCTGAGCAGTGTAACCTGCACTAAGCAAATCCAGCCTCAGAACCCTTCCTGAGGGCAAAAGAGAGAAATTAAGGATCAATGTCTTACTTCACAGGAAGATTCCACCCTGGGATTCCTTTCCAGAGAAGCTGCGGCCCACTTACAGTGATTCCCAATGAAGGAAATTTGAGTTAGCTGCAGTGTTTCAAGGAATGCTTTTTAATTGGCCAGAGAGAGGGGTGTAAACTGCCTTTGTTTTCATGACGCTTCATGGGTCCCTAATGTCCGGAATCCCAGGCACCTATCCCAGTGCAGCTTTTGGAAGAGAAGTGAGGTAAAGGGTCATGAACACTCTTAAAAAATTTTTTAAATAATAAAATACCTCTTCAAGGCTGCATTGTGGATTATGACAAGTCAGAATTTTGAGTTGAGTCCCCTTGTCTCAGCGGGAACCCTTGGGGATGATTGCTTTTCTTTCTGAGCAGCTGTACGAAACCACTTTAGGATCTGTCTGTGCAGAGGGGCTTTCCTATGCCCTAGTGTCCGAGGGCAAAGACCACCAAAAAGAGTTGAAATGGAAACAAATCAAAATAAAGGTATCCATGGAGCCTTTGAAATCAGTTTTGTGAAAATGGTCATTTCTTACCTTCTGAGAATAAAGATTTTTTTAAATATATATATTTTTATTGATTTCAGAGAGGAAGGGAGAGGGAGATAGAAACATCAATGATGAGAGAGAATCCTTGCCCCTGCAAGAATCATTGATCAGCTGCTTCCTTCACGCCCCCCCACTGGGGTTCGAGCCCACAATCTGGACATGTGCCCTGACAAGGTATCGCATGGTGACCTCCTGGTTCATAGGTCCACGCTCATCCACTCAGCCACGTGGGCTGGGCAAGAGTAAAGATTTTTTAAATTTGACTTCTTAATGTCCATGCTTAACTTATACAAATATATCTGTGTTGCTTATTCAAAACCATCCCCCCACCCCCTTCCTGGTTCTCTCCTTCCTTTAGGCAAAACTTGCATTCCAGAAAGATATGATGAAGCCTTTGGCCCCAGCCTTCCTGTCCTCGCCCCTGGCGGCGGCCGCTGCGGTGTCCTCCGCACTGTCACTGCCACCCCGGCCTTCCGCCTCGCTCTTCCAGGCGCCAGCCATACCTCCCGCCCTCCTGAGGCCGGGCCATGGGCCCATCCGTGCCACACCTGCCTCCATCCTCTTTGCTCCCTACTAAGTCTGCAAGCCCCGAGGCGGTGGAGGCCAGTAAGTAGGAACGTTGAGAAGAAAAGCCAAAAGGATTCAGCAAGCCAAGCATTTTGTGTTGCAGTGGCCGCACCCAGCCACAAGATGTGAGCCCGACTCCAGAGAACAACCAACCCATCACTAGATTCAAGCGTGCTTTTAGGGCCCGCTCCTGTCATTGGGGAACCCCAGCAGCACAGGCTTTATCTCCCTATCCCCTCCCCCTGCCCTGCCCCATTCAATCTGTGTATCTCAGATACTTGGTTTCTGGCGACTGTATTGGTCAGAAAAAAACATAGACATATATCATTCTCTGACTATTTTCCCATGAGTGTGATCTGGCTTAGAAACAGTATGGAATATTTTCCTGACAGACTTGAAAAGTAGGGTCTTCCTCACATGTCTGTAAATAACTCTGGAATCAAATTGGGCACCTTCTAGTGTGGAACACAAACAGACGAGCACAAGTGCTAACTTGTGGGCCCCGTCCTACCAATGGATCACAACGTTTTCTTTCTGGTGTACTCTCGTTGACAGGGATTGTGTACTGTTCTAGACCCAAGTACTGTTGTATCCGGTGTAGTACTAGATCTGTATCTCTTGTCTGAATTCAACACTTTTTAGTTGCTGTGTAAATGTTAGGAAGCAAAATAGCTTTGAATTTTCTCGTTAAGAGAACAAAAGATCAAGTAATGTATTTTTTTTTCATTTTCCATTTTATTGGGTGATATTTAAATGAAATAGAAAGCCATATAACATAGCTATAATTACTACCTGTTTGCTATTTTTGTGTAACTTATTTTGTAGCTTCCTCACCAGTTTGAGTTGCTAAGCAAATGTATACAAACAGAAAAGAGCTTCCTAAATTGCACATTTTTGCACCTCCTGTGCATTCTGCAAGAAGACAATGAATCCATGTATTTCTACGTAATTATCTCCTTCGTTTTTAACCTGTTTTCATTTGTAATGATGCTACATAATCTTGTGGCTCCCTAATGCAATAATGTACAGAAGATACAAAATTTATAATTGAACAATTTGTCTTTCTGTTCACTGAATATGTTGCAGGTCATGCTGCCATGCTCCCTTTCTAAGCTGGTATCAACAAAACTGGAATGTTTGTGATATCAGGGGTAAGAAGTACCATAACACAACCAACCAGAGTGAACTCTTTTTGAGCATCTGTATCTGCAATCTGTAAATGGTAAAATGTCTGTGTATTTTTTTAAATGTACCTTTTCAATAAAAGTACAAAATATAAAAATATGTTTGTATTTTCAAAGTGATTTTCTCCTGAGATACCTTCAATTTGAAATCATCTGATGAAAGATTTTCAGTAGATGCAAAGATTGCTTTTTACATATTTAGCATTTCCAGCATATTTATTTGTCATGTTTATTCATTGCTGTTCGCAGCGTCTGTATGAGGCGAGACTTTGCTGCTGTATTCCCTCTGAATCTCAGAGAAATTGGGCCAAAGTTGTGAGTGTGACCCAAAATAATGGTAGCAGCCTGCCAAAAGATTGGGACTGAATTTTTTAAACTTACTGTGTGTCTTCTAAATCCCTAGACCATCTTTTACTCATATCCATGGCAATTACACTCTCTTTTTAGAGAATTTTATTTCACTCCTCCCCCTTTACCTTCTCTAATCAGCCCATCCCTCTTTACTTCCACCTCGTTCTGTTCTCAAGTGTAAAGGTTAATACATCCCTTTTGTTATGATTATCGCTGCTCAAAGAACGACACCAAAATTTAAAGGCTTAAAATAACAATCATTTTGTTATGTTACAGTTTCAGGAGTCAGGAATTCCCACAGAGCTCGGCTGGGCTGTTTTTCCTTTCCTTGGGGACCTAAGAGGTCCCTTGGTCATATTCAGCTGGTGGGTGGGCTGGTCTACAGGCTCAACATGGCTTCACGTCTATGTCTGCCTGGATGAAGATGGCTGGAAGGCTGACCTCTACTGGAGTAGTTTTCAAGAGCCATGTGGTCTCAGATAGTTACCTAGTAACTCTGGACTCTCGAAGATTTCAAGGGGCCTAAGTGGAAGTCAAAAGGCTTCTTGTAAAACTGTCTCAAAACTTACGGTGCATTCTATTGATCAAGCAAGTCACTGAGGCCAAAGAGGTGCAAGGAAAAGGAAATTATTCACTTTTCAATGTGAAGAAGAGCAAAGAATTTGTAGCCATCTTTACTACTCCATTGTAGAATTTTGAGGCAAGTGCTAACAAAGTTATTATTAATTCCCTTTTCCCCTACCATAAGCCCAAACTGTGTTTTTTAAAATGAGAATTGGAGTGGGAATAGAACCTAAATTCTCATTTCTGAAAATTAAGGCGAATGGATGGCAGTGCAGCTGTGATACATGGCAACAGGCTTCCTCTACCAAAGAGTTTATCCAACTATTTGAAAAGTGTTTCCCTTAATATTCTAGACTTACAATCAGGTTATTTTTAGAGTCTATTAGGATTTCAGTTTGGCATTCAGAATTTGTTTGATTTTTTTTTTTAATATGACTAATTTGAACTCTAACCAATACCAATTACACTAAACTTTGGTTGGACCTTCAGACATGGCTTATGGACATGAAAAAGTTGTGTTTGTTTAACACTTTGGAGAAGTTTTGTTTGTTTGGTTTTTGTTGTTTTTATGGACTCCAATAGCAATTATATTTCATTTTTTTGTATCATCATCTATTCCATTAAAGATTACTTCAATACTAAAAAGTGTTAATGTCAATATTTAAATATTGACATTACTGTCAATGTACTGATTAGATTCATAGAGTTTAATATTTTTTTAAAAATCACCTAAGGGAGGAAGTACAAAATAATAGCAATTAATTTAAATGACTACTTCCAAAAATAAGTCAGGAGTAGCTTCAAACAATCATTTGTAAACATTATTAAACAGACATATCATCCACACTGATTCTGAGGCAGCAGAGTGGGTCAATCCTGAGGGGTTATACATATTTGAACTAATACCCCTTCCTATGTCAGTTCTTTTTATTTATTTATTGATCTTTTTAGAAAAAAGGGAGGCGTGGAGAGAGAAAAACATCAATGTGAGAGAGAAACATTAATTGCTTATCTCCTGTACACTCCCCAACCAGGGATCAAACACAATCTAGGTATGTGCCCTGACCAGAAATCAAACATGCAACCTTTTGAATCACCACTCTACCCCCTCCACTTATTGGGAAAGTTTTAAAATGTGCTGCTCACTCTGACATAGCCCAGCTCTGGTCTCTGAAGAATCTGAAAATTTTTCTGGGATAGCCAGAAAAATTAAAAAACAGCCAGTTAAACTTGAATTTCAGATATACAATGGATAATTTTTAGTATAGCATTCTAATAACATTTAGTATGATATTGCATATAGCATAAGTTTGTTCCATAAATAAGTATACAATATTTGGGACATACTTATATTAAAAGAATATTTGTTGCCCTGGCAGGTGTGTCTCAATTGGTTGAGCGTCACCCCATATACTGAAAGGCCACTGGTTCAGTCAGGGCACATGCCCAGCCTGCTGGTTCAGTCCCCAGTCAGGATGTGTCCACAACCAATCAATGTTTCTCTCTCACATTAACCAGGGATCAAACACAATCTAGGTATGTGCCTCGGGGGCAGGTGTGCAGGAGGCAGCCGATCAGTGATTCTCTCTCATCATTGATGTTTCTCTTTCTCTCTCCCCCTCTCTCTCAAAACATAATCAATAAAAACATATTTTTGAAAAAAAGAATATTTGTTGTCTATCTGAAATTCAAATTTAAATGAATAGACTGCATATTTTACTAAGTCTGGCAACCTTGTCTCAGGAGCATTTCTCTTCATCTCAAGTACCATTATTCTTCAGGAGAGAAGCAACCTCTTGGGTATTAAAAACTAATTAATGAGATTTTAAAGGCACATTGTGAAATGCACTCATAAATGGGAAGAGGAAGGGATCTGCAATAAATGAGTCAATGATATATTAACAGGGGGAAATGCAGCTACAAAGGCAAATTACTTAAAGCTGTACAGATATCTGTCTAACAAAAACTACTAAAGGCCCAGTGCATTTATTCGTGCACAGGTGGGTCCGACTGTGGGTGGTTGGCAGGCCAGCCCTGCCCCTGATCTGGGGGGCAAGATTGGGGGTGGGGCTGACTGGAGAGGAGGGGCTGCAGGAGCTTGGCCAGCTGGCCCCACCCCCGGGTCAAACTCCTGGTAGAGGGGACAATTTGTATATTAGCCTTCTATTATATAGGAGGATTCTAAGAGCAAAACGCCAAAATTTTCATTCATATTATGCACCAAACACATGAGCCCCTGATTTGTTCCTTCTCTGCTCTAAGGTAATTCTTAATTTCTGAAGCAGCAATTGTTATGGTGGTGCACAATTTTTCTCTAAGAAACTGCTCTAAGAAAAACTACCCTACAGTTAATATAGTTGAGCAAGAGAATCAAGGGATTCCCATTTGGGGGGGCGGGCAGGGGAAGAACAAAGGAGAAAGAGCTGACAGGGCATCAGGTGGAAATCTTGTGCTAAGTAAGACTGTCTTTAGGAGTCTAAGGAGACTCCGTGAGGAGATTGAGTTTGGGGATGTTTTGAGAAATCAAACCCAGGGGTGCAATGGGAGAGAGGATTATTGTGGGAGGGAGAGATGGCCAGAAACTATTTGTTAGTTAAAGATTAAGTTAGCATCCAGGAATACACCCTTGATAAGCACAAGCATCTTCAGATAACAGGTGGCAGAACTTCCTTTCACCTCTGTAGGTCTGCTGTGTGGATTCTGGCCTCTCTTACAGTGTTACTTCCATCAGATACTTGTTTTGTTAATATGATGTCCCTCAATATCAAAGGTGACATGACCTCTTTGGGAAAATGCCAGTGTTTGGTACCCAGGTGGGCTGAGGAGAAGTTGTGTAGACCAAGAACAAATTCCACAGGGGATGCTCATCTTTGCCTCCTACCTTCCTCCAAGTAATTAGCTCCATGGGGAAATTCAGGGACATGGTACAGATTCTTGGTAGCTATGCAGTGTGACTGTAGGGAATTGCTCAGATTTCTTTGGCTACAATTTCTAAAGCCAGAGTGAAAATAAAATGTATTCTACTCCACACTAGGTGCTCAAACTGCATCAAACTTCTGGTTGTCAGATGGAATGCATTCTGTAGGTACAATGAAAGTATTTTCATGTCAATTATTCCTATAAAAAGTCACTTTTGTACAGATGATTAGACAAGGTTGTATTAAGCACCTGCATTTCATTTTTATTACAGTGAAGAACTAAAATTAGGATAGAGAAGAAATAAATGAGAATAATACATAATTTGCTCTCAAAAGATCATAATTCAAATCCTGGCCATGTTATATACTTACTAGTTTTGTGATTTTTATGTCAGAAAATGGATGTTATGTCATATTCCCAGAGTCTCAGTTTTTCACATATACGGTATAAAATAGATATAATAGTATCCAAGACACAAGGTGTTTCTGAGAGCAAATAAAATTGAACATGTAAAAAAGGTTTTGTAAATTATAGCTTGCTATACAGATTTCCACAAATGGAAAATAAACTCAATTTTCTCATTTAAATTTCTAAATTTTAAGTAAGATTCTCTCAAATTAGTCAGTTTTGAATTTTTAATCTAGAGTCAGAGAAAAACGCATCTGTGTGAAATGTTCCTATTCTCAAAGATATGATTCAAATAGAAGTAATACTAAAATAATCGAGCCAAAGTAAATGCAAAGTGTTTGTATGTTATAATTATGTTTGAATTTTATGTCTTATAGTTCATATGACAAAAACAGAATTTCAAGTTGAAAATATCAAAACTTTTTACGTTGTAAAAATATTACAAATACTGTTGCAAAAAAATAAAACTTCTTTACGATATAAAACTTAATTATAAAGGTACCAGACAACCTAAGGAAAATATTTATAAGTCATGTGACATAGGTAGTTTTATATTCTTATTATACCACGAACTCTTAAAATAAGGTGGGGAACTCTTTCAGAAAAGAAAGACAATCCAATATTTTAAAAAGGCAATCCAGAAAAGACAAAATACAAAAAGACAAAGTATGTATACATTTTTCTGAAATACCCTGTATATACAAATGCTTAGTAAATGTGAAAAAATGTCTGTCGTCACTAAATACAAATAAAAACATTTTTGATGTAGCATATTAACAAAAAAATTATAAAATTTCTGAACTTTGTATTAGTGAGAGTGGAGAAATATACACACTCATGCACTGTTGGTAGTAAT